GACAAAGATTTGTCCTGACTGTGGGCAAAGCAGGAAAACTCTAGCTACAGTCTTGAATGGCCTTCTCTGCCCTCTCCGTCCCTCTGCACTCAGGGAGAGCGAACATGGTCACACCAGGCGGGGGTCAACCTATTGCTATTTCACCAGGTGCCCTTGAACCCAGCTGCCTAAAGGACGCCTCAGGCATCAGCATCCCCATCTGTGCAGAAGGTCCCCTAACCCAGCCTGCCTCCCTACCAATTGTGTGCGGGCCTGGAAGTGTGGCTGCCCGAGGCCGGGAATCCACACAACCCTGCAGGACCCGACAGTTGCTGGGCACGAGCCAGGCCAAGCTCTGCCACGGCTGTGGTTGCTCCCTATAGCATCCCACCACGCTCCAGGTCCTCCGGCTGAGAGTCACGCCTCACTCAGGAGCAGCGTCTGCCCCTCCTAGAGTGCACACGTGGGTTTGCTCTCTGGGCCCTGCATGGCTCTCAGACATGCTCCAGGAGAGACCCGGGTTCGCGCTGTCCTGCCGGCTCGGCCAGGAAGGTTCTGTCTCCCTCACTGGTGTCAGTACTAGACTTCGTGGTCTGTTCTAAAAGAGACCCAGCTTGACAGGCTTAGGAGACCCTGGGGGTATGGTACCATGACATGGCCTTTCTTTCTTTCTTTTTTTCTTTCTTTTTTTTTTTTCGGTTTTTCGAGACAGGGTTTCTCTGTAGCTTTGGAGCCTGTCCTAGACTAGCTCTGTAGACCAGGCTGGCCTTGAACTCACAGAGATCCACCTGCCTCTGCCTCCCGAGTGCTGGGATTACAGGCATGTGCCACCACCGGCCGGCGACATGGCCCTTCTTGATGTGGCAAACTAACTCTTAATGGGCTCTGTGGTACCCAACTCCTGGCACTCACACCTCTATGTGCTATCACCTTGAGTGTGGGCAAGACTCATGCCTTGTTGTCTCTAAAAGGACGTACAAGGGAATGTCACCTTGCTGTGGGATAATGCTCTTGTGCATTGTAAAGACTTGTCACTTGAATTGGTTTAATAAAACGCTGATTGGCCAGTAGCCAGGCAGGAAGTATAGGCAGGAAAACCAAACTGATAATGCTGGGAAGAAGGAGGGCGGAGTCAGGAGTCGCCAACCAGATGAAGAGGAAGCAAGATGAGAACGCCACACTGAGAAAAGGTACCAAGCCACGTGACTAAACATAGATAAGAATTATGGATTAATTTTGCTGTCCAGACACAGAAACTTCCGCCTACATCACCTCCCCAGCTGAGTGATGTGAGAATGTACATCATCTGGCTGGGCGTCTGTCCCTTGATGGCTACGCAGTTAAGTCCATGTGATAGAGAACCCAGTGGCCTCCAGGCAACAAGAAGCTGAGGCCTGTTGTGCCCACCCACTCCCAGGTAACGGACACAGCCAGCAATCACAGCAACCGCAGTGGCTCCTACCCTTCCATCTGGAAATAAGACATGGCCCCTGCTTACATCTGATGGCAGCCTTGTGGAACCTTGGACAGAGGGCCCACCTAACACAGGCAGGACTCACGACCCTTAGAAGCCAGGGATCATAAAAGTGTGCTAGACAGACTCGCTCTGTAGTGCCATTGGGCACACACCAAGGTTGCCTGGTGTTTGGAAGTCAGGCCAGAGAGAGGCGAGGTACCCTGGGCAAGGATGACAAGCTGACCAGCTTTCCAGGATTTTCTGTCTCCTCAACTTGGATGACACTCCCATACTGTGTAGCTACTCATGGGGACATGGAGAGAAGGCCCAGCCTCTCCTCCCTGACCAATCCCTGTACCTGTCAGCTGCCACGCTTCTGGCCCTCTCAGGGCATCCTCGGGGGGTGGCCAGCACCGCCCCCCCCCCCAGTCTTCCAGGATAGCTCAGTCAAGCCACGAGCCATCCTGTCTGAGACAAGGCACTCCTGTTTGCAGGGCCGTGGGAATGTACAGTAGGAACAACTGGTGTTTAACAGGCCGACCCGCCAGACCCACCTGATGGGGAGCCTCACCTGATGGGGAGCCCCACCTGATGGGGAGCCCCACCTGGCCAGGCCGTGGGTCACTGCTGTGGAAACCGGTTGTTTTCTGTCAGTAATTTCTCTCATGTGCTACCACATTTCTCTGCCAAGAACTGCTATGGGTGTCTCCCACTGCTTGTGTGTTTATCTCAAGAATATATTCCATCTTTGGGCACACGTAGAGCTGTGGATGTTCTGGAAGATGATTTCTGTGTAGGCTGATGTATAGAAACAGAACTAGGATATTTTACATTATCAGGCTGACATAGGACTCTCAGTCACCAAGACAGCCTTGTACACAGACAGCGAATTTTGGACTTCAGAACAAATTCAAAGCAGACTAAACTGCCCCTGCAGAAAATACTTAAAGTGTTTTAAAACACTTAATTCCCAAGTGTTGTTTATTGCTAAATCAAGGCCAGGCTGTTTACATTGACACAGTTTCTTGCAGTAGCCCCCTTTCTGAGCATACCCTGGTGGCTCAAGGCTCAGTCACTTGTTTACTGTCTGGGATCCCTCACCAGCTTAGAGCTGCGTGCATGGGTCACTGTGACATTACGAGCCTAAGAGAAACTGCGTGACTTATCTTGGATTATGAGAATTATCTTGGTTGGACCCTGAAAATGTAACACAATTGTCCGGAGTTTGGCTGTGAGGCAGCGGCGGCGGAGTGGAGAGAGGCGGCTGTGGGGAGCTGGGTGGAAGAGAGAGCTGTGTGAAGGAACTGTGGAAAGAGCAGGCCGTGAGTATGTGTGTGTGTGTTGGAGTGTGAGTGTGTGGGTTAGAGTGTGGGTTAGAGTGTGAGTGTGTGTGTTAGAGTGTGAGTGTGTGTATGGGTTAGAGTGTGAGTGTGTGTGCGCAGAAGGAGCTGAGGCAGGAGAGAGAGCAAGAACAATTTTCAAAGAGAAGGGGGGCTGTGTAAGTGTGTGTGGAAAATGTACATAAAGAGATGTAACTGTGTGGAGACAGAGGTGTTTTCAGAGAGGGGATTTCTCAAGTTGAAGTAAAAGAGAAAGTTATCACCAGAAACCACGTGTGTTTCCTTATTATTTACTCCTCAGATAGAAAAGGCCTAGCCCTCGGATATGTAAGAATTTTTCCTAAGCTCTGGCTGCCTTCGTGGACTTTCTTGCATCACCCTGGTGGTAGTTGGGGGCTGCCCCCCCTAAAGCTACCGACACTTGTTGCCAAGAGCCTCTGTGCATCAGGAGGGAGCTGGGTCCAGGTTCCAGTGGTACCCTGGGAACAATGAATACCAGCAGGGTGTCAGCAGGCAGTTGAGGGGGGGGGGCTGCAGAAAACCCCTGGCCTTGCTGTAGTAATGTGGATTCACTGCAGACTGCTGAAAGGCCTCTTGGGTGAAAGCAACTTCTGATGATGGGCCAAGCCCCCAGCTCGGCCTCCAGGTCAGCTGCTCTCTGTTGTCACTACTCTATGTGCCGTGCTCCATCCTAGCCCTGATGACCAGCTGCCAGGAGGGGGGCCCTATGGTGGACTCAGAGCCCCGTTTTCTTCCTCTGTAGCCGTGGATGTCTCCGGCCATGGGTGTGGACAAACACGTGAGAAGTGGCAGTCTCTCTCTAAGATGAAGCTCGGCTCTGGTTTCTGGAGTTACATAGGAGAGGTGGAGTCTGAAGTGTGGGGGAGGGGGGCAAGCATCGGCATCAACGAGGACACCAGAGCTAAAGACCTCGGCACACTGGACACTGGGTGCATATTCTCTTTATTGCTCAGTAGGAGGTGACTGCGTGGGACTGTCCGTATGGGCTGCAATCCGTTCACGAGGTGCTCAGGAGCCAGAGCAAAGGGCTGGTACACACCTGGGAAAACGGTTGTCACCGGCAGACAGGTAGACAGAGAGACACATACTGACAGACACTAACAGCAGACCCGTGTCTGCGACGTACTGGGTCACCCACAGTTATCACTGAGCGCAGTCAGCCACCGCTCAGACCCTTCTGCTACACACACCAGCCTGAAAGAAACTACGTGGCTCATCTTGTGTGAGGAGAATGCGTAGGGCGCTGAGAATGTGACACAAGGATCCGGAGTTTGGCTGTGAGGCTGCAGCGGCGGAGTGGAGAGAGGCGGCTGGGTGAACGTCACCACAGCCACCGTCCCAAAGCTTGCCAGTAGTGAAAACAATCAACAAAGGAGGAAGTTCGGGAGCAACAGGGCAAGGGCTTTCCCAGTCCGCACCACCCGACAGGAAAGCCGAGCTCACCAGGATACAGCAACAGTGCGGCAGAGGTCACACCAAAAGCTGCTTCAACTCACAGACACGGGAGCGTCCGAGGCAATGGTGCTCTCCTGGCATTGGGTGGCCTCTTGCGACTTACCCCACAAAGGCCAGCGGAGTTCTCCAGCAGTAACTTGCGGCCTTCATTGCTTCCGAGGCTCGGAAGCAGCTAGCGTTATTATCGGTTTCATGTAGGAGGACTGTGTGATGTGACAGACGCACTATTCATTTCTGCGCTGGTTTCAAGTCTGTGGATCAAGGTGGACAACATGCATCCTAGGGGAGAGGAGGATGCTTTCGCGGTGCCCAGCCCCTGGCTTTTAGCTTAGCTTGTCACTTGCACTGACTCTGACCTCCGGCCCTCACTGGGCCACAGGCCTGGGTGCAGATTTGTCACCGGTGTCTTTAGTCTGTTCCAACAGTACTAGTTCTGTTCTTGCAGAGGACGCCACCATCGCTTTGGAGCCGGGCTTGGCATTGGTCACCTCTGTCTCGGCTTCCTCCTCCTCCCCTTCCTCGGGAGAGAAGCTTTCTCGAGCGTCAAAAAAGGTGATAGTTTCTTCCTGGGGTCTCTGCTCTGCCTGCCCTTCCTCACCTTCAGTGCTTCTGCTCTTCTTGGTGGGCGAAGAGGAGAATCCTAACTTGGGAAACCGGAACCAGCCTGCCCTCTCCTGTTTCCGGGGCAGGTCAGGGTCCGGCCGAGCTGCAGGCTGGACGTGGACTGGAGCCGGTCTTTGGGCGGCGTCTCTGGAATCAGCGGCCGTCTCTTCCACAGAGGAGAAGCCAATGCTTGGAAGCCAGGACCACAACAGGCTGGCCTTTTTACCTTCTGACTTCTGTTTGGTAGCCATCTCAGGGGTCTTTACCTCCTGGCTGTCCTCGGGAAATTCAAGAATCTCGGCCGGCTCTTCATCAGAGGTGCTGTCTGCAAGCTGGGGCCCAGGAGGCACTTCCGGTGATAGCGGCAGCATGCCAGCACTGGAGGAGATCATTTCGAAGGGTTCGCCGGCATCAGGAGGGATATCGCCAGCAGCTGTCGGGGGAGCCCCACACAAGCCCTCTTGTGCCTGGGAGTCGGGAGCCACAGTATACACACTAGGCTGCACAGGGGGGTCTGGGATTTTCACTTTCAGCAAAGAAAACCCATACGAAGGAATCTGAACTGTAGAAGCAGGAATCTCTGACTCCCGCACAATCTGAGTGGAAAAGGCTCCGTGTGCTGAGGAATCCTCACCCTCTCGTTCCACCCTGCCGCAGATCATGACTTCTTGACTCTCGCCTTGAGACCCCTGAATGTGCACTCTGACCTTAGAAATTGGGGATGCTCCCAAGGACTGCTCAAGGCTTGCTGGTGGCGCTCTGGGATCCTCAGCTCCCGTTTTTAGAATGCTGGCTTCCCAGAGCCCAGGGCTGTCTTTATGCACGGCACTGCCAATGCTGGCCTCTGTACACTGCACCTCCCTCACCACAGGGAAGAATACATCAGCCTCGGAGCTGGAGGCTTGGAAGGAGAACTTGGGCACCTTTAGTTTGGGGAATGTTACAGTCAACACAGAATCCTCCCAGAGCTGACTTGTGCTCACCACAGAGACCTGGGATGGCATCTCAGTGAGGGAAGCCTTCAGCCTCAGAGGCCCTTGCGGCTGGGAAGGCCAGCTTCCTGTTCTAGCCTCCGCCTCAGCAAGAATGTTTCCTCCTATTCCTTCTGGAGGAGGTTGGGGTTCTGAGACTCTCACACAAGACATCTCAAGGGAGAAGGAGTCCTTAGCTGGATGGGTCCCTGACCCAGGGGTGGACAGATGTGTCTCGGACATCCCAGCAATGGAGCTGTGCAGCCTAGGGCCTGTTCCATGGAGATCACGTTTTACAACATCTGCATATGTCAGGCTTTCTGGGGTCTTCACACTGGTCCCTTCCTCCGGGGACCCCAGGGAGACTTGTGCCCTTACCTTCGGCTCAGGTGCCTGGGACAGCTGCACAGTGGCTAGTGCTCCTTCTGCCTCTAAGGGCACACTGACAACAGGAGTCTGGGTCTGAGCAGCTTCCTCTTCTCCAGCCCCATCTCGCTCCTTGGAGGAAGAGCGCCTAAAACCAGGGACTCGGAACTTGGGCATTTTGAACCAGCGCTCATGCGAGCCTGTTGACATCTCCTTTGCTGTGGGATCCATCTCAGGGCTTTCCGTGGTGGAGGCATGATCTCTTTGTCTACAGGATGGCGGCCGGTCTCCAGTTATAGATGCTGTCAGTTCCCCAAGGGGCTCACTTGCAGACACACCCCCAAACATATGACTCTCGCTGTCACCTCTGACATCCAGGTCAGTCACCCCTGCTGTCATGGAGGGGGAGATGACACAGGGCGCTGGAGTGACATCTGTTGAATGAGTGCTCCCAACATGCATATCACTGACAGTGGTTTCTATGGCTACCAAGTCAACTCCAGCTGTGGTACCAGAAAGTGAGGGCTTCACATCTCCCTGGAGCATGCCAGCCCGCCCCTTGGAGCCCTTTATCTTGGGTAGTGCAAGTCGTGGCATGGAAAAGCTCAGCTTCCGGGTTCTCCCCTTCTCTGTTTCCTTCTCCATAGATGCAGGCTGGTGGGACTCCACTGGGGAAGCACATGTCCCAATTTGAGTGTCCGTTTCAATCATAGAGAAGCCTAAACCAGTTACAGGGCCAGCCTGAAGGGACTCAGAATCACTTGCAGACCCACCTTCCTTTTTCGGGGACCAGTGGAATGGAGGGAGCTTGATGCGTGGCAATTTGAAGGAACTTCCCTTTCCTTCATGATCAGATCCTTCAAGTGACGATGTCATGGCAAAGTCAATGGAGGATTCATCCAAAACAGGAGAAACAGGGGGATCTGAAGATGGAACCATGGAGCCTAAAGAATCTGAAATTGCGGGAGGACTAATGGCAGAGGCAATGCCATGCTCAGACACAGGCAAGTCATATTCTGATAATGATGGTGGAAGAGAAAACACAAATTTTGGTTTATAGAACTTAGGATATAAAATCTGAGCTTTAAAAGAGTCAACAGAAGGATCAGAAGAGTCATGAGACTGCACAAAGGTACGAGAAGAAGAAGAAACAGGTGAAAGAACACTAGGCAAGGATACCTCAACCTCAGGGGCGGTCAGCTCGCCCTTGGGGCCCCTCACGTCCACTTTGGGGCCCTTCAGCTCCACGTGCGGGCCCTTGAGGTCCACCTTGGGCATCTTGAGGCTGGGCATCTGCACCTTGGGCAGGTGGCCCTTCAGGCCG